CACCCGGGACTCTTGCCTCAGCGGGACCTTGGCGGACCACAAGCTGGGGCACCCCGGGAGGTCGATGGCCAGCTCGGCGGAAAACCCGGACGCGGCGGGGGTCTCGGGGCTCACGGACCCGGGTGCGCGGCCACTTCCGATCGTCCGGAGGCCCCTAGGGGGGACCCGGCTGGCCGCAGCCATCCGGACGCCCGACCCTCCCCGCGCGCCTTCCGCCCCGAGGGGTGAGAGGCGGCCCAGCCCCACCCGCCGCGCCCTCCTGCCCGGGCGCCCGGACCCCTCGCTGCGCCCACCCTCTCCGCGGGCGGCCGGGGCCAGGCGGTCAAGGAGCTGCGCGCTGCGGGCCACGGCGCTGACGGGGGTGCGGGGTGAGTGGCCAACGAGGGGTCCGGGCGATTTGCCGCCGGTGCAGAGGACTCGCTGCCTGCCAGCTGCTGCGCCACCTGCCCGCCCCGCGCGCCTGCTCTGGTCCGGCAGCGCAGCCCGGGCCCACGACTTCCTCCGCCACGACCCGGCTTCTTGGCTGCCCCGGCGCTGGCGCTGGCGCTGGGCTTAGGCGTGGGCGTGGCGATGGCTCGCCTGTGGGCTGCACGCGCGGACCCCACAGCCAGCTCCCCGGAGTGTGCCCACCTCTACAGCCCTGCCCCAACCCAGGGATCAGGTCCTCAGAGCGGGCCCGCCCTGGGGCCGGGACTCCAGTCACAGGGAGGGCCGCTGTGTCTTCCTGCCAACACTGAAGAGTTGCCAGAAGGGGCCAGGTGGGCCCGGCTGGGGCCCTTTAGAAGACGGAGGAGGGCGCACCTCTCTGCTCAAGAGCCCTAGAACCTGCTACTCTCTGCAGCCAGAGTGAGGACCTCCGTGAAGGCTGCTCAGAGCGGGAACCTCAGCGAGCCTGGAAGGCCGACACAACAGGCTGGGGTTGGGGGAGTCCAGCGCAGTGCCTGGGCCTGGTGTGGGTGTGCCTGAGGCCGCCCATCAGGACTTGGCACTGGGGAGCCTGCTTCCTTCCAGGCTCCAGGAAGAGAGGCTGTGGCCCCAGCTCCAGGTTCTGAGGAGCTGCCCCAGCACGGGTGGCCTGCAGGGGTCCCAGGTTCCTCGATCCCAAGCCTGCGGGTGGTCCTCCCGGGGTCAGGCAGGTGGGTGAAAATACATGTCCACACAGCACCAGGCCGGGCTCCCCTCCAGCAGGCTGGGCTGGCTGCCCGCCGAGTTCTCTTACACAAGAGGCCCCACTCCCGCCTACAGCTTCCTGGTCCCCAAACGGCTGGGCCTGGCCTTAGAGAGGCCTCTGTCCTCCTTGGTGAAGGACACTCACTTCTGGCCGCAGGGCCTCGGGTTCACACCTTCTCCATTCATTCTCACTGTTGGCTGCCTTTGAGGTCAGTTTGCCTTTCTGACCATCTGGGTCACATTCTCACAGGAGGGCAGTGGGTGGCAGTGGCCCCAGCTCCACCTCACCCATTTCTCAGCGCCGGGCTGGTGTGGAGGGAAGATGCCTGGCCTGGGGGCTGGAGGCCTGGGTTCTTAGTCCTGGCCATCTGGGATGGGTGCAAGGTCCTCCTGGAGCCCCTCCTTCTCCAGGAGAGGGACAGCGCAGTCCATCTGCCATGCCTGTCCATCTTTAGGGAGGAGGAGGAGCAGACAGGGGCAGGGAGGGGCTCTATTTCAAACCAGCACCCACCCAGGGCTGTAGAACCACCCTCCGACTCACCTGGGCAAGGTGGCCAGTCAGGGAGGGGAGGGTGTCGGCGATCCCAGCCCCCGATGGGCAGCAGACACTGGAGAGGCAGGAAAACTGCCCTCCAATCCAGCTCGGTTCCCTGCAGGGCTGCACTAGGCTGTGAGGGGCGAGAACCAGAAAAGGGGGCGATTGAGTCCTGGGGAGTGTGCTTGGGGAAACTGAGGCAGGTTCTTAGCCACAGGCCCTGGGCCACCCCGCATCTCAGGCTGGGCCTGTCTGCTAAAGGTCTGCTCCCAAGCCTGCGTTTCTCTGGGCAGGCTCTGCTCCTTCCGCCACGGTGGGCAGGCGGGGTTGCCTTGGGAAGATGGTCAGGTGCAGGTGGAGGATGTGCACCCTGGGGTGCCAGAGCTTTTGAGGCCCCAACCCTGGGAGACTAGCCATGTGGATGCTGTGTTCATGGAGCAGCCAGAGGAGGGGTTTCTTGAGGTGCTCTGCAGGGAGGGAGGAGTTGTCCTGGGGAGGATGGGGGCAGCACAGCCTGAGGGGCAGAGGCCAGTGCCTGGACCAGCCCGGAGGGTGCCTGGGGCCTCAGGAACATAAACACACTCTGTGTGCTGGGAGGGAGCATCTTGGTCCCCAGCTGGCTCTGTCCTCAACGGGTGGACCTTGGTGGGGGGTGTTCAGTCCCATTCAGAGCAGAACAACAGATCCCACAGAAGCAGGCAAGGCAGCAGGGGGAGGGAGGGAGTCCCACGGGGGAAGGGGGTTGGGGCTGGTTCAGTCCTGACCAGTGCCAAGGGTGAGTGTCACCTTTACAGGCCTCTAGGAACATGGCACGGCAGGGCTGGTGAGGACACAGAAGAACAGGTCTGGGGACGAGATGGTGACGTCGCCTGGGAGAGGCGGGAGCCAATGTCTCACTGAAGGATGGACATGGGCACGGACTCCCCAGCACAGGCCGCATGGGGAGGGAGGGCTGGCCCAGCACAGGGCGAGTGTCACTCGAGGCAGGAGCCACTTTCCAGACAGGACTTGGTCTGACACCTCCTGCCAGGCAGAGGCCCACAGGAAGGGGATGGGCAGCGTGGCTGCTGCCCATGGCCCTGGTTCCATCGAAGACTCCAGGTGGCTCCACGTGGCCCCTCCTGTGTCTGCACACTCAGCTCAAGCCCCACCTTGGCCTAGATGTTTTCTGGACAGCCTGTGGGGGAAGGTGCAGGAGCTGGACTCACCACCCAGACTGGCTGCCCCCAAGGACTATGGGACATCACCCCTCTGGGCCGAACCATGTGGGATGCCGGGCAGCAAGGAGGACAGGTGCAGGAAGGCAGGTGCACGTATGAGGGGTAAGGAGGGCCCGGGAGGTGGGACCCCAGCCCCAGCTCGAGAGCAGCAAGGACGCCCATGGCAACTGCTGCCACCAAGGCCATCATCCCGTGGGTCCCCTCAGCTGCTACGCCCTGCCCACCCTCGCCACTGAGCTGGTCTGTGGGTGCAGGCCAGGGCTCAGCCCTCCTGCACAAGCAGGCTGGCTTGGGCAGGGATTTGTGGGCACCAGGTCCCTCCCCGGGATGCAGGAATGCTGGGCACATGGGCAAGCAGGCTGGGGAAGTGTCCTGATTAGGTGAATGTGAGGAACTGCGCCTTTTCTTTTTGGGACAGTCTCACTCTGTCACTCAGGCTGGAGTGCAGTGGTGAGATCTCAGCTCACTGCAACCTCTGCCTCCTGAGTTCAAGTGATTCTTGTGCCCCAGCCTCCGGAGTAGTTGGGATTACAGGTGCCTGCCACCACGCCCGGCTCATTTTTGTATTTTTAGTAGAAATGGGGTTTCACCATCTTGGCCAGGCTGGTCTCAAACTCCTGACCTTGTGATCCACCTGCCTCAGCCTCCCAAAATGCTGGGATTGTAGGCGGGAGCCTCTAATTATTTTTCGTTTTGTTGCTTTGTCAGCAAATAACTTTCTATGCAAGCCACAGTGTCCAGCAACCACACCCCCTCCAGGCCTCGTCTGTGGGCTCTCACACCCTAGACCCTACTGCCTGCCCTCATCGCCCTGGGCCACACACTGAGCAGCCAGAGACAGCCCCTGCCCAACACCCACTGGAGTGTCCACATGGAGTCCCGAGTCCATGGCCCCACCCTGCCCACTCCTTCTGTGGAGCCATAGTGAAGGCTTTGCCCTTGACAACCCCAGTGCCCTCCTGCGTGGCCCTGCGTGGCACAGGGTGTCCCTCCTTCGGGGATCTGAGTACATTTTTTATTTGTTTTAGAGATAGTGTCTGGAGCTGTCGCCCAGGCTGGAGTGCAGGGTTGCACTCACGACTCACTGCAGCCTTGAACCACCACCTCAGCCTCCCAAGGCACTGGGATGACAGGCGTACGCCCAGGCTCCTGCCCAGACTCCTGGAACCAGGCTCTTTTCAATGGCAGGAGGCCTCGCCAACCAGAAGGTATAAAAACCTCCATTTTAACATGGATGGCAGGGTGCACCCTCCAGCTGTGTCCTTGTGTGCCTCACGCTCGGGGCCCTGGCTGTGGGGGCCATACCCTGGGCTGGTGTCGTGGAGGATGGACACCTCTTCCTGACTCCTAAGAACCCAGGGGGCCCTGCCCCACCCGCTCAGGGCTGCTCCAGGAGGGCCTGGCGATGGGGCTTCCAGGAAGCCTGGGCCAGGTGGCAGACGGGCCTGCTCTGATCTCAGCCTGGCCCACCCTTGCAATTTGTGTCCTACACCCCCAACCCCACTCCGGCCCCCATGGGCCTCTCTCCTAGCTGCCCAACCACCTGTCTTCAAGGAACCTCTGTTCAGACCCTCAGGGTCACCTGCTGGGGTCTGCAGGGCACGTGACTCCATGGTGCACCCACAGGACCAGCCTTGTTCCATGCAGTCCTGGGCCTGGCAAAGGGGCCTGCCCAGGACCTCTGTATTGTTTTGAGCATCCCAGACCACACTGAGGGCGCCTCCTCTGGGAAGCCTTCCTGGATCCTGCCAGCTCTCTGTACCCCTAGAGTGTGTCTCATAGTCCCCCTCCTCTCTCCCTGCAGGAGCAGGAAGACTGAGGGGGTCATGTGTTCGTCTCCCAAGCCTGTGTGCCCCAGGGCTTCAGGCCACAAATGAATTACCTTCATGCCCACAGCCTGAATCCAGGGTGTGTCCTGCTCCAAGCATGACACCTGCCGTGGGTGCAGAAGGGCCCCTTATCATGCTTCTGGACGCAGGTGGTCCCTGCCCTATGTCCCCCAGCGTCCCCCACGCATGGCGCCGAGTTAGGGGATGGGCGTGGAGGGAGACGAAGGCCCCAGTGGGCACAGGCAGTTATCAGAATAATATTTATTGATATGCTCGGTGCTACCTAGTTAATTCTGCGTCACATGGCCTCCATGGCTGAGGTATTCGGGGTGGGACCCTCCGGGTGCTGGCCAGGGCTCCCACGGGAAGCCATGTGGCTTTGGCTGTGGCAGGGGCTGGGTGGGGGATGTGGTTATTGCGTTGGGCCCCTCCCTCCTCATACATGAACCACGTGCCAGCGTGCACCCACGCACTCACCGCCTGCTCACACACTCCCAAGCTGGCCCCTGCACACACCTGTGCACCACACCTTCTGTGCACACAAACACACGTGCACACACACGCACACACCTGTGCACCACACCCTCTGTGCACATGCACACATGCACACACCTGTGCATCACACAATCTGCACATGCACACACGTGTACACACACCCCTGTGCACCACACCCTCTGCACACACACATGTCCACACACGTGTACACACACACCTGTGCACCACACCCTCTGCACACGCACACGTGCACAAATGCACACACCTGTGCACCACACCCTCTGTGCACACACACACCATCCTGCTTTAAACACATCCTAAGTCTCCTGGTGATAAATACAGCAGTCTTAGGAAAATAAAATGTATGTCAGGCTACAAGGAGAAAGTGCAGGTGGATCTTTGACCCGAGGGTGGACCTCGGTCCCTCCCACCAAGGGCATCAGGTCCCTGCAGGGGTGACCCCTGAGCATGTGACCCCATGGGCATGACTGCCCACCCGGGCAAACTGGCCCCAGCTTCCTCTTCCCTGGCTCTGGGCTGGGGGTGCTGGGCTGTCTGGCCCCAGCCCGGGGCCAGAACGAAACCAACTAAAAAAATAAACTCTTCGCCTCCTGGCCCCCCGCCCATGGCTGGGCACCTGATGCAGGGGTGTGGGAGGCCGACTTCAGCCTTCCTGGCCACTGGCTCCACCTTTCCCTGCCCAGCCAGTGCCTGGTGATGCCGTGGGGTGGGTTCCCCTATCGACTGGGTGGGGGTGAGGGCCCCAGGCATGCGGACAGAGGCTGGGGGTGCGGGCAGTGCAGGCGAAGCAGAGGCCACGTCCACGCAGGGCAGGCATCCCTGGAGGTCAGCCCGGCCACACCACACTCACGCAGAGGGGTGCTCCAGGCCTGGGCGGTGGCATCCCTCAAAACTCCACAGTACTCACGACTGTTCTCGGCTCATCGAAGGTGGCGATGAGGATCTGCTGCGGGGCTGGGATGGCGATGAGTTCGCCCACGTCCTGCGGCAGGCGGGGACCCCCTTCATCCTCCTCGCGGGCCTCGTACAGCGTGTTGATGTGCAGCAGCGGGTGCGTGGCGTTTCGGCTCAGGATGGTCAGGGGCTCTGCTTTGCCCAGGCTGGCTGGTGACAGAGGGGCCACAGCAGGGGCGGCGGGAGGTGAGCGGACGTGGAACGGGGCCCCCGAGGGAAGCCCTGCCCGGGCTGGCTCTGAGGGGAACGAGATTTCCTTCTCGGGGAGTGGAGCATCTGCAAACAGCCAAGAGCACAGGCATCTCACACTGGGGCTGCCACTGCGCCCCTCCCAGCGCCCACTCAGTGCGGGCCGGCAGCGGGAAAGTGCCCTGGAGAGCCTGGGGCGGGACGCCCCTGAACACAGCAGCCGTCCTGGACACACGCGCAGCCCTGCTGTCCATGGGGCCACAGTGCCATCTATAGAATTTCCTCACCCGGGGAACTTGGCTCCACCATGCACGCGGAGCTCAAGGAAGCCGACCAGGAGCACATCCCTCCCAGCCTGCGCCCTTCCCATCTGCCTCCAGGGGGTCTCCAGGGCCAGGCTGAGGTGCACCTTGACGGTGAGCCCGTTTGATGGAGCTGGTTCAAACCTCCGCCTCCTCTACGCGGCTCCAGGCCCCCTCCCTTCCCTAGTGCCCTGGCCGGGCTCCCACGGGCCGCTGTGGCTAGGGGCGCCCCTCCAGTCCCCCATCCCCCGTCCCGCGTCCCGCGTCCCCAGTCCCCGGCACAGCCCCTACCTTTGGCGGGCACCAGGCCCAGCCCACAGTCATCAGCCTGGGACAGGAAGCCTCCCTCCTGGCTCCGGGAGGCGGGCAGGGCAGCGGGTACCGCCTCGGGCTTGGCCTTCTTGGTGCCCAGGATGTAGGGGTGCACGTCCAAGGAGAAGTGGCGCGCATGCTTCTTGTCGGGGGCGGGCGGTGGGGCGGGGGCGGGGCCCGGGTCGCCACCTCCGCCTTTGTAGTGGTGGGCGGCACGCGCGCCCGCATCCAGCAGCGGCGCGATCAGCGTGTCCGTGGCCGTCTTCCTGCGCGCGGGCTTGGGCTTCTCCGCCTTGCTGTTCTCCACGCGCATGATGGCCAGCGGCTCCTTGAAGGGCTGCGGCAGCGGGTTGCTGGTGGGTATCCACTTCATCTTCTTGCGCGGCCTCTTGACCACGGGCGGCTCCGCGGCGCCGTCGGGCTCGGCGGGGTTGGCGCTGGGGTCCACGGTCTGCACGCCCGAGTCGCGCACCGTGGGCGTGGCGTCGTGGTTGGACTGCGCCAGCGCCGCCAGCAGCTGCCGGACCACGTTGTCGTACATGAGGTCGCTCTCGTTGGTGATGAAGTCCAGCCGGTTGAGCGACTTGATGTGGTCGCGATTCTCGTTGCAGAACATGGCCAGGATGTTGATGTCGCAGAACTGCGAGCGGCGCCACTGCCGGCGCGTCTTGATGCCCACCTTGTGCAGCTTGTCGAAGATGAAGTTGCTCTTGCGGAAGATGAAGAGGTGGATGAGGTTGACGAGGATGATGAGGTTCATGACGCACAGCAGCACGATGTCCACGCCCGCGATGATGCGCTGCAGCTGCACGGACGGGAGCTTGCAGCTCACGCGCACCGCGGACCCCGCGCCCGCCGGCCCGTCCGGGGCTGCGCCCAGCGCGCAGGTGAACTCGTTCTGCTTCTGCGTGGCGTAGTAGGTGCACAGGTAGGAGATGGGCACGGCGCTCAGCAGCAGGATCAGCACGTGGCGCGCCAGGTACAGCTTGGCCAGGAAGTTGCTGCGGCCGCGGCGCTCCAGATACTTCTCGAACAGGTTCTGCTCCGGGCTCTTCTCCTTCTCCGCGTTCTCGATGATCTCGCGCTTCTCGCGCTCCGTGATGCCCGGCCCCTTGGACTGGATCTGCTTCTCGATCTTGGGCGCGCGGCCCTCGGCCGCCCGGTGATAGCAGTTGTCAATTTCCTGCAGCAGGAAGTTGAGCTCCGAGGTGAGGCGCGTGGAGGCCAGGAACTCCCAGCCCAGCGCGGGCACGTACATGATGGCGGCGAAGGCCAGCAGCGCGTAGGGCAGGAACTTGTGCTCGAACAGCGACGGCCACAGGCTGGCGTCCACGCCGGGCAGCGCGTCCCGCAGCTCCGTCCAGCAGTAGCCGCGGGCGTACAGCGCCTGGTCGCGCGTGAAGTTGTGCGGGGTGTAACAGTAAATGGGTTCCTCTGGGGGCAGAGAGGAGACACGGGCTGGGGCGGGGAGGTGGCACTGGCTGGGGTGAAGAAAGCCGGCTGGACCTGACCTCGTCCCTGCTGAACCACCCCCACAAAAGCCTCTCCAGCCTCCTCCCACACAGCGCCTGCTTCCTACAGGGCCTGCTGCTCCCCAGATGAGCCCCACTCCCCTCCCCCCACCTCGGTGGTGTAGGGGTCCTGCCCTGAGCACCCTCACAAGGTCAGCTGCGGTGCACCTGCAGGTTGAAGCCACGACCCCCCCGGGAAACCACTTGAGCCACGCATCTCTCCAAATTCCACAAAGACTGTGTGCACAAGGGGACACTGAGTTCCAGAGAGGGCCAAGGCAGGCTGGGAGTCCCAGCCAGGGTCTTTTCCATGCACACAGCCGGACCCAAACCAGGTCCCAGCCACCGGCCAGGTACAGCCCGGGGCTGCCCAGGGCTTGTGACTCAGGTGCTGCTAGGTCCCGGGGAAGCCAGACTGGGCTCTGCCAGGCCTTGAGGGTGAGGGGTGTCTCCCTGAGACCCACCGTTCTGGGGACCCCAGACACCAGGTGGGTTGGGTGAGGATGTCACCGGCTGGACTTCGGTATCTGCTGCTAAAATCGCAAAGAGGGAGCCTCTCCAACTGTAGGCAAATGGCCATTACTGAGCTTTGTTTTCCCTCAGAGCCTGTCTCTGCCTGCAGGTGACAATTTGCATGAACCGGCAATAAAGACGTGTTCAGGACACTTGCGCCTCGGCCCGGCGTAGGGTCCAAGCAGCTGGGATCTTGCTTACGTTTCCCAGGAAGGCTCTGGGCCTGGGGGCTGACAGCCATCCTGCCGTCCATCCAGGCTGGGCCCTTCACACAGCGCAGGCCCCGGGGCCCACACCAGCCTCAGCCTTGTCTCACAGCCCCAAAGAATGGCCCCAGGGCAGGGCCCATGTCAGCATGATCCCCTCTGCACCAAGCCCTAATTAGGGACAGAAATCGAGGCAGATGAGAGACCCCTGCCCATTCTGGGAAGAGCAGCATTCACTCTTGATGCCACACACGGCCTGGGGCTGGGCACAAGAGCATGCAAACCTCACAGCCTGCAGGCGCCTCCAGCCCTGACCCCGGCTCAGCTACGGGCCCCTGGGACCCCAGGTGGCCATCCTCACCGCGGAGGCACATCCACACAACCTGCTCAGGGAGGGTTCGAGGACAGCCCCTAAGGCAGGGCTCCCACAGGCCATCAGACCCCCCTGAGGGTCCTGGAGACTCTGGAGGGCTTGGGAAGGAGCCTGGGAAGGAGCAGGAAAAGCTGGGACCTGAGGCCCGCGTCCTCGTTGGGGACGTCGGGCTGGAGATGAGCTGGGCTCAGAGAAGAGCAAAGCGGACAAGGCAAAGGAATCCACTCTCTTGGTTGAGAAAATGGCATATTTTATTTACTTATGTTTTGTCCTCACAGCCAATCCCAGGAGCCAGAGAAGAGCGTCCACCCTGGGGAAGAGAACAGGGACAGGTTTGTGTCCCATCCTGAGCTGGGCGCATCCCTAGCAGCCACCCTTGCTGGGCACATGTGGCCAACATGGCGGGGAGAGGCCCGGGAACCCCTGGCCCTGACTCCAGTAGGGCCACAGGGAGACTGGAAGGAGGGATCCTTCGTTCTGGGGCACAGGGCAGCCTGTCCTCCTCCAGGGTGGATGAAAGCTGGAGCCCCACGCCCCGCCACATGTCTGGTGAGCTGCCCTTACTGTGAGGAGCCCCACTGGGACCGGGGCTCCTGACACCTGTCACAATCTCCCTGCTGTGTGGCGGCAGCAGCAGCAGGGGGAAGGCAAGCCCTGCTTTTCACTCTGACGTCAGTCTCCTCATCTGCTCAACCAAGGATACTGCCCTGGCTCACCGCAGGTGAGAGGCCTGGCCCTTCGGGGCCCCGGGGGCATGTCCAGCAAGGCCTCCCTCCTCCCCCGATCCGCCACACCTGCAGGGCACAGGGTGCTCCTGGAGGCCTCAGCAGGTCCTGATGGACTCGGCTGTGCTGGCGACCGGGCAAGGCCAGCCCTCTCCCAGTGCTGTTGGGGATGCTGGCCCGACTCGGGGTGGGGCCGCAGAGAGGGCCTGCTGACCCCAAATCCACGGGCCCATCCCAGACACAGTGGCTGCCACGGGTCTTCTACCTGAGGCCCTCCTCTGGGACTTGCCAGGGACAGTGGGGTCCTGCTGGGCCAGCGCAGGTTTCTGGGGGGAGGCAGGAAGGCCTGGCCCATCCAACAGGGCGGACGGAGCCGCGGCCAGGGCTTCTGGGAAGTCAGCACTGTGTGCACCCTGGCTACCCCAGCTGTGCCCCAAGAGAGGACACTGGCTTCCCAGCCAAGGAGCCTGTCCACACCGTCCTCAAACCCCTAAGGACAACGTCAGAGTCGGGCCTGGTGCAGCCTGAGGGAGGAGCACCTCGGAGTGGGTGTCTGAGCGTGCCCCAACACAGCCCATGTTCATATTTGGAGTGCTGTCCCCAGGGCCCCAGGCCACAGCCCAGCCCCCGAGTCCTCCCCCAGTCCTGCCCTTTCTGGTCCTGCCATCTCCAGCCCACCCCTGCACATGGCCCTGCAAGGGTGAAGCTGGGTCCCTCCCAGCTGCCCGGCAGTCCTTCCTGCCCCATCTTCTCATCTGGGGAGTGGGGATGCCTCTCCAGGACCCCCAGCTTTGCACAGGCTCCTCCTGTCTGCTGGCCGCACCCTGTCCATTCACCCCAGACCACTGCCACACCTTTGAAGACCTCGGCCCAGTCCCTTCCCTGATTCCCCTGGCCTTACAGACCTCCACAGGGGGTCTGAAGTGAGTGGAATGAAGACCCCAGAGATGCCACATTCCAACCTTGGAACCCAAGGCAGTGTCACATTTCCCGGTTCACGAAGACTTTGCAGCCATGACTAGGTTGGGGGTCTTGGTGGGAGGCAATCACAGGGCTCCTCTAAGAGGGTCAGAGTCAGGGACGGAGATGTGAGGACTGGAGGGGGCGTGGGGAGAGGACGACACGGGGCCACCTCTGAGGACGCAGGAAGGGCTGCAAGGCCAGGAATGTGGAGGCCTCTGGAGGCCGGAGAAGATGGGAAGCAGATTCTCCCCTGGAGCAGCCCTGCTGACACCTCGTTGTAGCCCCATGAGACTACATGGCTTCTGGTTTCTGACCTGTAGGTTTGTTCCAGCAGCCACAGGAAGCTAATCCCGGTGGTGCCTGCTACCTTCTCCCGCCTCTGCAGGCTGAGGGCGGCTGAGAGCCTTCCTCGGCCCACCTGGAGACCCGGGGACTCGTCCCCTACCTTTGAGGGCACTGCATCCCCAGACAGCAGCTGGTCACACAGGCCCTCAGGCCCAACCCTGCCCTGTGGCATCAGGGAGACTGAGGCCAAAAAGAGGCACTAGCCATAAGGCTCCTGGGTGCTCAGGGGCAGAGCACTTCCTTCCTTTCTGTTCTAAAGAAGAAAGGGCGGGGTGTGGTGGCTCATGCCTGTAGTCCCAGCACTTCGGAAAGCCGAGGTGGGAAGATCACTTGAGCCCAGAAATTCGAGACCAGCTTGGGCAACATGGCACAAAAATTAGCCAGGCGTGGTGGCAGATGCCTGTGGTTCCAGCTACTGGGGGCTCGGGGCTGAGGCAGGAGGTTCACCTGAGCCGGAGAGCTGGAGGTTGCAGCTTGCACCACTGCACTCCAGCCTGGGCGACATACCAAGACCCTGTCTCAAAAAAGGTAATTTGGACACAGACAGGCAAGGAAGAAGCCCGTGAGAAGACAGAGGCAGAGACTGGGTGGCGGGCCACAAGCCGAGGCTCGCCAAGGAGTGCTGGCAGCACCAGAGGCTGAAGAGGAGGGAAGGTCCCTTCCCCAGATCCTCGGGAGGGAGCAGGGCCCAGCTGACACCTTGATTTTGGGCTTGTGGCCTCCGGAACCACGAGAGAGAAATGTCTCCTGTTTGAAACACTTTGTTGCCACGAACACAGAGAACACACATGGTGCCTGCATACCCTGGGCCCGCCCCAAGGCCCCACAAGAACCTGGGTTCCCTGCTCTGCCTGAGTGTGCTGTGCACCTGCCACAGGGGTCCTCTAATTCTGGGTGTCTGAGCTCCAGTGTTCCAGAGGAGACCAGCAGAGGCCTCCTCCACCCCTGGGTGGGATCAGGCAGCCTGGCCAATGTCCACCCTCGGGCTGGCATCTCCAGGCCACAGGCCTCCTAAAGCCAAGGCACCTGGGAGATTTGGGAAGCGCCAGTGCTAAGGCAGGGTCCCTGAGGTTTAGAGGCTGCAGGAAAGGGGCCCCAGGGCCCCAGCACCCCCTCTGTGCTGCATCTCTGGGCCAGGAAGGCCAGGAGACCCGAACCCTGACCCCGTTGCCTTGGCCTAGACCCTAGGGAAGGAAGCTCTCGGCTGCACCTGCCTCACCCCACTCCTTGGGGAGGGCAGAGGTACCAGGTCCCCACCACACAGAGGCTCACAGGCAGGCTGGCTGCTGTGTCCCTCTCCTGCCTCCCTGGGTAGCTTCAGGTGCCCCCACAGGTCCTGCTCTAACCAGCTGGGTTCTGGGTTCCGCAAACAGCCCCTCTGTCCCTGCCCTGGTCCACCCCCATCTCCCTGCAGGAGCTCTGGGCTCCCTGCTCCACAGTTACCCCACCCCATACTAGTCCCCCTGTTTCAGATCTTCAGAGGCCCCCAGTGCACCGGGAAAGGCCTCGATCGCCTGAGGGGTGGAGGGTCTGGGCCTCTCGGAGACTCTCTCTGCCCTCCTTCCACCCAAGTCCAGCCTAGGGACACTGCCCAGCAGCGTGGGGGCTCCACCGGACCCTGGCACCAGCTCTCTGCTCTCAACAGCCGTCCAGGCCTTTCCTGGTCCCCGCCTGGCCACCCTTCCACCCCCTCAGACGCTGCCGTGACGTTCTCCAGACCAGATCCCCAGTCTCATTGCATTTAAGACCCCCCAGGTCAAAAGGCCTAATCCCACCCGCGGCTCACGGGCAGACGAATGCAAGGTAGAACAATAAAAAGACGGGTCTGGGGCCGCCCCAGCGACCAGCGACACCTGCGACGATGGGGGCGGCTGTGGAAGGTCCCTGGGACGCGGCGGACGCAGCCAGGCCAAGGTGGGCGCGGCTGGACGGAGCCACCACGCACGCGGGAAGCGCCAGCGCCCGGACACCTGCGGACGCGCCCTCTCGGCCGCACCCCGCGCCCCGGCCGCCGGCCTCACCTGCGAAGTTCTTGGTGAAGACCAGGGTGACCAGCAGGATGGGCACCAGCACCGTGCCGATGGTGACCACGCGGTCGAACGGCAACTCCAGCTTCAGCTGCAGCAGCAGCGCGGCCAACGCGCCCGCCTTGTCGTCCTGCGCGCCCGGCAGGATCAGCTCCCGCAGCTTCTCTCCCGCCAGCAGTGCGGTCGCCATGTCCGCCGACTGCTCCAGGAGGTGGTGCATGGGGGGCGGGGGGCGCGGCCCGGCGGGGGGCGCGGGTGGGGCGGGGGGCGCGGGGCGGGGCCCGGCGCGGGGGGCGCGGGCGGGAGGGGACGCGCACGGCGCGGGGGCGGGGATCGGGGCCGGGTGCGGGGAGCCCGGGGTGCGGCACGGGGACGGAGGGCGCGGGAGAGGGTAGCAGGGGACGCCGGGACCGAGCGGGGGGCGCCGGGGGATGGAAGTAGCTGGGGGCGCGGGGCGGGAGCGGGACTGGCCGGGCGCGGAGCCCGCGTCGGGGCTTGGGGGTCGCTCCGCCGCCGCCCCCGGAGGCAGGGGTCGGGCGGCCCAGGCCGGCGCGGGGGTGGGGGGCACCGGAGCCGCCCGCCTCCGCCGCAGCCCGGCCCCCGCCCTGGCGCGTGCCTCCGGCGGGGGCGGCGGCGGGATCCCGGCCCAGAGCGCCGGCGGCTGCTGCTGTCCCTGCCTGGGGCCGGCGGCCCCGCTCCCGCGGCGGGGAGGGGGCTGTTTACCTGCGGCGACTCCGCGGCGTGGCTCCGCCCCCCCCCCCCCCGCCACGCAGACGCGGCGTGGGCAATGACTTTGCAGAAAATATTTAAATGAAATGAAATGAATTAGTAATGACCGGTCCCTCTTCCTGGGAACGCGGGGCGGCTGGCCGGGGGCTGCCTTGGCCCGCGGGAGGGTGGGCGGGGGTGGGGGCGGCCCTGCGGGGCTCGAGGGCTTCGGGCCGGGGCGGGGGCGCCGCGAGGACTGGGAGCGCGCTGGGGTTGCACCCGCCGCACTGCAGGGCCCCTCACCCGGCCCAGGACGCGGAGGGGGCTTCCTTGCCCCGGCCCCTCGCCTGGGGTCGCCTCCTCTGCCTTCCTCCCTGCCTCGGCCGCGCCTTGCTGTGGGCCCGGAGGCTACCCCGCTCCTGGGGTGCTGCGGCCACGGGCGGGGAGGCCGGCGCCCTCTTCCCCGGGCTCGGGGGCCCCTGTGCCAACAATGAGGGCACCTCCCTGCCCCACTCGAGCCCCCCCCCCAGTCCCGCCCTGAGTGGCCCCATCACCTCCGCGGGGGCCCCTCTCCTGCACCCAGCACTTCCTTCCCACCGCCGCATCCCATCCCCTGTTCCACAGACGTTCAGCTCAGGGGGTCCCCTCCGCTCCCCACAGCCGTCGCCCTCCGTCCTCTTCTCCCTCTGGGCGCCGCCGGGTCTGGTTTCAGGCGCGTCCCGAGTCGTCCGCGCCCGCAGGGCCTTCTTCGGTCAGCGGTTTTCCTTCGTGTAGGTCCCCTTCCCAGTATACCGGGACGTACGTACACGATCTTTTATATGAAAAGATTTATCGTGATTGGAGTTTTAAATTCAATCAATAATTCATTCCAAAAATGTAACTTGAGCCCAGTGCTCGCAGGCCCGGCCACCGCTGTGAGCAAGCCAGGAGGTCCCCCTGCCTCCCTGGGCTGCAGGGGGTGTGCACGTCCGCTGTGAGCTTTCACCTTGTCTGCGCTTTTAAAGACCCTTGCATGTTTCTGAGAGAGGCTGGCCCACAGCTTCCAGCAAACTTCATCCTGAGGCAGGCAGTTGTCCCTGCTACATCCAGTCCCTGCACCCAGTCACCCCAGATGAACCCAGTTACCCCAAGTAACCCAAGCACCTCCAGTTAGCAGTCCCTACCAGGTAACCCAGTCACCCCAACAATGCAGGCACCCCAGATAAATCAACTCACCTTCAGATAACAGTCGCTTCTCCCATAACCTATTCACCCCAGATAGTCACCCCCAGATAACCCAGTCACTACCAGATAAACCAATCACCCCAAATAATGCAGGCACCTCTCACATATTCACCCGGTAAGTCAGTCATCTCAGATAAAATAATCACCCCCAAATAACCAAGTCACCCTTCAGATAACCAGATAAACCAGTCATCTCCTGGATAAGCCAGGTACCCCTCAGATAACTCATCCCATATATCCATCACCCCCAAATAACCATCACCCCAGAGAACCCAGCCACCCTTCAAATAACCAAGCCAGCCCCAGACAACTCAGTCACTCCCAGATAACCCAGCACAGTGATTTCCAGACCCTCTGAGTGCCCTGGGTGTGGCTGCTGAGTGGGCACCTGTTTGTCAGATGCACTTTCTGCTTTCGCAGGGGTGCCTCTTGGTGCTTTCCACAAGTGCTGGGCCAGTCCATGCTCTCACCATCGGTGAAAAATCTTCCTGTCCCTGTATTCTTTCCAGCTCTCAGCCCTATCCACCCTCTAGTATCTGCCATTCTGAGGGGTGGAGTGTAGCTTCACAGTGCTTTTGAGTTTCTTTATTCCTCGTGGTTTGTGTACATGGGCTGTTCAAACCCCCTGCACACTGCATCACTGGTGCTCACTGCAACCCTGAACTCCTGGGCTCAAGCAATCCTCCCACCTTGGCACCCCCAAGTAGCTGGCATTATAGCTGCACACCACCACGCCCTGTTTTCATTTTTCTTGAGACAAGGTCTCAGTTGCCCAAGCTGGAGTGCAACAGTGTGATCTTGGCTCACTGCAACCTCCATCTCCTAGGCTCAAGGGATCCTCCCACTTCAGCCTCCCAAGTAGCTGGGACTGCAGGTGTGCACCACCACACCTGGCCTTAAAATTTCCTTATCTGTAAAAACAGGGTATCATTATATTGCCCAGGATGGTCTCAAACTCCTGATCCACCCTGCCTTGGCCTCCCACAGTGCTGGGCTTGCAGGCTTGGGAATGAAGGCGTGAGGCATGCTGGGTTTGCAGGCGTGGGACTGCAGGCGTGAGGCATGCTGGGCTTGCAGGCGTGGGACTGCAGGCGTGAGGCATGCTGGGCTTGCAGGCGTGGGACTGCAGGCGTGAGGCATGCTGGGCTTGCAGGCGTGGGACTGCAGGCGTGAGGCATGCTGGGCTTGCAGGCGTGGGACTGCAGGCGTGAGGCATGCTGGGCTTGCAGGCGTGGGATTGCAGGCCTGAGCCATGCTGGGCTTGCAGGCCTGGGAGTGCAGGCGTGGGAGCTTGAGAAGAGGAATGTCTGTGGCAGAGCCGAAACCGGAACTCAAACTCGGCACCCTGGCTGCCATCCTCATTCCGGAGGGGCCTGGACAAGCATAGCAGGGGCCAGAGTGAAACGGTGAGCAGAGGTCCATGATGACATCCTGGCCGCCCACCCTGTTACCCTCGTGAGCAGGATGTGTGGGAGGAATGAAGGGTCTACCCCTGTGGTCTTCGCACTCCAGTGGCCCAGACTGGAGGACACTCTTCCCAAATCCTGTATTGTGGGAGCAGATGGTTCTTTCTCTTGGTGATACATTTACATGAGATTTCAACACATGGAAGGATCTAGAAGACCGAGAGTGCTACACAAACTTGTGTTCCCATCTCTTTCTTTAGGTGAACAAGCTTTCTGAGCTTCTATATCCATGAAGATGAAAAACAGGAAAAGAACTGTCTCATTTCAGCCCTAAGTAATATCTTCCCATGAAGATATGAACTGTTTGCAAAGAAACACCATACAGATTAAGTAATGCATTTCTGGCCAGGCATGGTGGCTCTTGCCTGTAATCCCAGCATTTTGGGAGGCTGAGGCAGGTGGATCACTTGAGGCCAGGAGTTGAGACCAACCTGGCCAACACGGCAAAACCCTGTCTCTACTAAAAATACAAAACTTAGCCAGGCACGGTAGCACGTGCCTGTAATCCCAGCTACTCAGGAGGCTGAAGCAGAAGAATCGCTTGAACCTGGAAGGTAGAGAGGGCAGTGAGCCAAGATCGCACCACCCCACTCCAGCCTGGCCAAGAGTGAGACTCAGTCTCTCAAAAAAAAAAAAAAAAAAAAGCATTTCCAATTCAATTTTATTTTTATGCTTATTTTTGAAAATTGGAAATATATGCATATCGTTTTTTTTTAAAGAAAGATTTTTCAAATCTCCTGTAGATAGAAAATGAAGCCCCTCTTATTTGTGATGATGCTTTTAGGCCACTGTTTTCCTATGTCCACCTTTAATTGCCTCAACATGTATCAGGTTCGTACGTCATTCACATTGTCACAGGAAGGACAATGCTAACATAGTGATCCCTAGTTCCTGTTAAGTGCCATTTGTGTCATGGGACAACCTAACATTTGCAATACATTTCTAAATCAAGTTGGTTTTATTTATTTATTTATTTGTTTTTACATGCTCCCACCTCTCAAGCCAAGGAGCAGATGGGGGATAGGAGGAACGGTGTGTGTTGTTTTATTTTTATTTATTTATTTTTGCTGATCATTTATTTATTTATTTAAAGAAAAAAAAGGAGAGAAGGAGAGGAAGAAAGAGAGGGAGAGAGAACAGGAATATTGCTTTATTCTAAAGATGGGTATTAATAATGGCCGATCAATATTTTGTGTATTTAAAGTGGAGAATGTATATTTTGTGCATTTAAAGTGGAGAGCTCTATAAATATTTATTAAGTTTACTTGTTCCGGATCTGAGTTCAAGTCCTGGATATCCTTATTAATTTTGTCTCATTGAGTCTAAATCTCTTTATGGGTCTTATGTATCTGGGTGTTAGGATCGTTAGCTCTTATTGTTGCATTGATCCTTTTACCACTGTATCTTTGTTGCTTTGAAATGTTTTATCAAATGTGAGAATTGTAACTCCTGCTTTTTGTTTATTTATTTTTGCTCTCCATTTGGTTGGTAAATTTTTCTCCAACCCTTTGAGTCTTTGTGTATCTTTGGATATAAAATGGGTCTGGATGTAGCATACCGTTGGGTTTTGGCTGTATATTTTGATTGGGGGATTTAGTCTATTTAAATGAAGGGTTACTGCCATTTGATGTTAACTGGCTATTTTATCCATTTGTTGATGTAAATTCTTCTTTATGTTGATGCTCTTTACTTTTTGGTATGTTTTTAGAAAGGCTAATACTGGTTGTTCCTTTCTATGTGTAATGCTTCTTTCAGAAGCTCTTGTAAAGCCGGCCTGGTGGTAATAAAATCTGAGTACTTGCTTGTTCATAAAAGATTTTATTTTTCTTTCAGTTGTGAAGCTTGGTTTGGCTGGATATGAAATTCTGGGCTGAAGGTTTTGTTCTTTGAGGATGTTGAATATTGGCCCCCACTCTCTTCTGGCCTGTAGAGTTTCTTCCAAGAGATCTGCTGTAAGTCTAATAGGCTTCCCTTTGTGGGTAACCTGACCTTTCTCTCTGGCTGCCCTTAGTATTTTCTCCTTCGTTTCAACCCTGGTGAATCTAACGATTATGTGCCTTGGGGTTGCTCTTCTTGAGGAATATCTTTGTGGTGTTCTCTGTATTGCCTGGGGTTGAATAGTGTCCTGCTTTGCTAAATTGGGAAAATTTTCCTGGGTAAGATCCTGAAAAGTATTTTCCAGCTTGGATTCATTCTCTCCATCACATTCAGGTACAACGATCAAACGTAGATTGGGTCTTTTCACATAGTCCCATATTTCTTGGAGACTTTGCTCATTCCTTTTCATCCTTTTTTCTCTATTCTTGTCTTGTCGTTTTATTTCATTAAGTTGGTCTTCGACCTCTGATATCCTTTCTTCTGCTTGATCCATTCTGCTATTTAAACTTGTGCATATTTCACTAAGTTCTCGTGTTGTACTTTTCAACTCCGTTAGTTCATTTATATTCCTCTCTATATTGTCTATTCTTTTCAGCATTTCGTCAAACCTTTTTTCAAAATTCTTAGTTTCTTTACATTGGGTTAGAACAAGTTCTTTTAATTCCCAGAAGCTTCTTATCATCCACCTTCTGAAGCCTACTTCAGATAATGGAACAGAGTCCTTTTCCATCAGGGCTTGTTCCGTTGCTGATGAGGAACTGCAATCCCCTGTAGAGGGAGAGGGGTTCTCATTTTGGGTATGCTTGGCCTTCTTAGGCTGATTTTTTCCCTTTATTATAAATTTATCCATCTGTCGTCTTTACAATTACTGCCTTTCTAATTAGGTTTCTGAGTCGACATCCAATTTATTGATTCCCAGTGCTGGGATTCAAGCAACCCACTACGCCGGCCAAAATAGCAGCGATAAGACTGATGGTGCTCTTCTGCCCGGGAATCTCTGGTCTGGCTTCCTTCTTGAGTCCGCAACAAGCGGCTCTGCCTTCCCGGAGCTCCAAACTCCGGTCAGCAGGGGAACCAGTCCCGTTTACTCTGTACGAAGAGCTGCCGTGCCGAGGCACCGGCAAAACCGCTGCGCCGGCCACAAGAGTCACGCTGGTGACCCGTGGGGCTCCTCCACTGGAAGTCTTCTGGTCCTTGAGCGACGAAAATTCATCTGAAAGTGTGGTGTCCTCTCGTTCTCTGCGCTTTCACTGGGAGCTACAATCCCGAGCTGTTAGCGATCAGCCATCTTGGATCTCATTCATGCATATGCTTTTGATTGGGTACTTACAATAATCATAACTGACCAGATTATTGTTCTACGTTAAGCCTCAGTGCGTGTCTTTTGCCAGGGTGCTCTGAGACTGGTGTTTGGTACGGCCAGGCCAGGCTTCAGTAACAGATGCCCGGCAACAGCCCAGGTTGTTTGGCCCCACACTGCTCACAGCAGGGCGGGGGGGGGGGGCTCTGTGCCACCATCCTCAGCCTGGCACATGGTGGCCCCCACCCCAGGTGCCCAGTGGGGAGTGGGGATGAGCTGCGTTCTACCCTCAGAGCCTCCCCATTAGCGACACCACCAGCTTGACACACCTGTGGTGTGAGGAAAAGTGGACTGAAATCCCATCTGTGCCCAGGAGAGTAACAGAAAATATCTGTGATGCCCACACCTTTCATCGTAACATATTTTGCATTAGGACACAAATATGTGGGGGAAGTGGAACAGAAATAGGAGTTCGAGGAAAAGAAGAAATACGTTCTAGCTGTGGAAGAACAGCTTGTTGGTGTCCTCTAGGTGGAGGATGGTGTCAAATTGTAATGGTGTTTTTGTTCCACTGGATACACTGAAAAGGCTGTTTAAGCTGTTTTGCTTTAAAATGGCAATATTTACAATATGCTGTAAATTACATCATAAACAGGTTTAAAAAATGATGAAGAAAAATCTTAGATAACTAAAAAAATAAGGGAAGAGACACACTGCCTTAGGGTGTCATTTTGGGGATTCCAAACACCGAAACCTCTGTGCACCAGCCTGGTCAACACACCGAGACCCTGTCTCTACAAATAATAATAAACACATTAGCCAGGTGCGGTGGCACATGCCTGTGACCTCAGCTACTTGGGAGGCTGAGGTGGGTGGATCACTTAAGCCCAGGAATTTGAGACCAGCCTGGGCAACTTGGTGAAACCCTGTCTCTACAGAAAATTAGGTGTGGTGGTGCACACCTGTAAGTGTCACCTACGTGGGAGGCTGAGGTGGGAGGATTACCTGAGCCTGTGAGATTGAGGCTGCAGTGAGCCATGATATACCACTGTACTCCAGCCTGAGCAACAGAGCAGGACCCTGTTTCAAAAACAGCACAAAATCCTGTGCAGATGACACCTGCCTGCAGGACCCACCTGCCTTTGCTTCCTAGGTGGGCAGGGATGCATGGCTGGCGGCGCAGTGTTGCCTTCCCTTAGCCTCAGCCCCTCCAGGGCAGCCTCCTCACCCACCCCTTTCTCCTCCCCCTTCTTCCCTGTGATCTGACAGACCCCATGGCCACTCCTGCACCAGCACACAGGTGCCCCAAGTCCTTTATAGAATGACCCTGCCTGCTCTCCTGCCACCGTGGACACACCAGGTCACTGCTGAGGTGTCCCCCAGGTGAGAACACCTGCCCAGCCTCAATGCCGGCTCTGGGCATCTCTGCTCAAGCGCACTCCCCTCAGGCATGGTCCTCTCTCCCCAACATGCAGCACATCCAGGTCACTGAGCCCCAGGAGGCAGCCTGTGTGTTATCAAGGCTGACCCCACTGATCTCCTCATCTGCTCACCTGGGTCAGAAAAGTCCCCAGCCTCCCTGGGTGCATCAATTTGGGACTGACAGGATGGAGAGGTGCTTGGCTCAGGACTTGTGCTCCAAAGAGGGAGCCAGCAAATGCTGGCTGCAGGAGCACTGGGTGCAGTGGCCTCTGTGCCTGGGGGCACTGCCTGGGCCTTCATGCACCCCTCAGCACAGCAATCCCAGCTCTGCCTGGAGCAGCCCTTCAATTCCTAAACACAGCTCATGCAAAGCCACAGCAGGTGATGCAGGCCTGCAGTCCTGGGCCCTTACATGATCCACCTGCCTGGAAAGCGCTTCCTCCATCAAATACTTCGTGGAGCTGTGACCACAGATCTTAGTGTCACCCACAAGCTTAGTACATAGAGGTGATCCCTGGTGTCTTGAGACCTTCAGGAGACAGTGGTTTCTGCTTGGGAGGCAGATGCCATACCTGAGCGGAGATATTGAGCCTTTGTTTCCTAGGGGCAAATCCTGGGAGGGGGGACGGGAGAGGGCGCAGGATGGAGGATGAGGGTCCCAAATTTTGAGGTGGGCCAGGCCTGCACCCTTTCAGGTGGCCGCAGGTCTGTGTCTCGCTGTGGGGATGGTGGGCTCAGGCCAGCTAAGACCCCTGTAAAGTGGTGTCAGTCATCCTCCTCTGGGGCCCTGGGTGTACGTATGGGCAGTATCTCCGAGCCCGGGGGGTCCTGTGTTCTGCCCGGGCTGCTTCCCTGAGCCCCTGCAGCAGGTTGAGGACAGTGCGGGACTCACCCCAAGTGTTCTTCCTGCCACTGCTCTGCTCCGCCCGGCCTGAGATGCATCTCCAGTCTCTACATGTTTTATTTCTGGCCCAGAAATGTGTTCTAAGGACCCCCAAACACGGTGCCCTAGGATGCCGGCCTGCACCCAGGAACCTGCCCAGCTGCAAACTCCCAGAAACACTGGGCCTAGGGCAGGCCTGAGTGC